GCTTATCAACACGTATTTCTTTTGTTGTTTTCTTTTCTGTTTTGGTAACAATTATTAGAAATTAGAGCACAAACAATCGAAGCTTAAGCAACAGGGTTCGCTCCAAACAAGCAATGGACGCTTGTCGCTGGCGGCAGTAACAGCTGCATCGACCAGCGCAGTTGCTTCCGGCGGTGGGCTAAGCACAGCAGATTCATTCAACCGCTCTGACAGCACTCCCGAAGAACCCGCTCTGGCTGGCATCAAATGTAGATAAATTATCGCAAATTGAACACACGAATGTCTTAAGTTGATTAAAATTATTTTCCTTTAATGCTCACAGCACTCACGCCCGCATCGCAGTCGCCACGCCAGGAGATACCAGCGAGCAGCAATCTCGTCGTGGAGAGGCAGACTTCGACTCCAAATATTGCATCAGAGGATGTGGATGCTGGCGAAGATGAGCCGACGCGCTCAGCGTTGCTCGAGTCAATTTGCAAGTTCAATCGTGGCTCCCTGCGTAAAGTGCGCTCGAATGACTAGGCAGAACGCAAAGAATTTTACATATTTACATTTTGGACCAAATGTGGCGTTATGAAATAACGGTTCCATAATATTAAATGCAACAATGAAGGAGAAGAAGAAAGAACAAATCAATTGAAAATAACCAAAAACAAAAAGATAGATACATTTTTAGATACATATAACAAGACATATTCGTAAACTATTTATTGGGCTACTTAAAGAATAACAAAAAAGAAAGACAACAATCCACAAAATAGCTATAAGTGACTACATATATATATATATATATACGTATAAGTAATAACATATATATTTACTAACGAAACCCACTGAATCTGTGTCCACAACAAATCTATATATGCATAACGTATGAAATCTGTTTTATGAACTCAATTGATATGTACGTCTATATATTATATATCTGTGTATGTAATTTACAAATCACACACGTCTGCGATACGAGGATGGCGAATGGTCAAGCGTACGCAACTAAAGCTTTACATATACATATACACGACCACTACACGACTGAAAATATCTTTGGTACGAGAATCTTGAATGCGAAACACGATTTCAAAGAAGAGGAAACAAAAACTATTGAGAAATTTCCAAATGAATTATGTTAACTATAAGTCTGCACCAAAATCCGCACGAAGGCGTTCTACTACTAATAACCTACTGATAACTATCATTCATATATATGTGTATATTTATGCCATGTACTCAGTTCCTCCATGTTGTGCGCTATACCTTTTGTTTTTGCCATAACGGCCAAGGATTGAGAACATCATTTCATTTGAAATGTATTATTATCATGCCAAAAGTTTTACTGTTATGTTTATATTTTTATTGGTGTTTATTCCAACGGTTTTGTTGTAGACAAACTACTATTATTATTGATTATGTGTGTAATGAAAATCTCTGTAAATCAATTGATACATATGTGTTTAATGATTAAAAGAAATAAAAGAAACATGTAACAGGCGAATGCATAAATGCAAAAGCTATATTTATATATATGTATACTCCAACCATATTGAACAAACTCAAGAAACAATTGTAATTTGATATTGATGTGTATCTTTGTATTCATGTCTATGTGTTTTTTATGTAACTGACTGTGTATATGTTCATATATGTGTGTATGCATACCAAAACTAATGCGAATTCAACGTGTAACGAAAAGTATATATGATCAACATACTACTATATTATCAATACATATGGAAACCGAATAAAGTGTAAAGTATTTATCGTTGTAACTCAACGCCAATCTATATATGGATGGTACTTGAAGTCTGTTTTCATCATCGATAATTGCCAATTAATTGACATTGATCTTTGTTTAAACTGTTAACTAGTAAGTAGTAGTATGTTGATGAATGGGTTATTCTTCTAGTTGACGTACTTTTCCTTAGTTATACAGAAATAGTCCTGGGAGTTAATGTTAAAGGAAATCAGCGAAATTTTGAAACATTTTCGTATATTTATTGTTGTCATCAAATTAGACATGTTATTGTTTATTTTGTAAATAGATATTTCTTAGCATGACTAGGCTTATAAGACAAGCGAACTCTAAAGGATATAATGTCCATCTCCCTGTCTGTCTGCTTACCCAGGCAATCTGTAGGTAAAACAATCAAATTAGTCACAATATACCAGACTGTATCATTCATTATTTACCTCTGAATCTGTAATGTGGACATGCTGTCAGGTCCAGGGCATCAGCCAGTCGAGGGGAATAATCTAGTAAAAACGAAAACGAACTGCGGCTAGAATTTGGCAGGTGGGCAAGGTCAGTTAAGCGAGTCGTGTTGTAGGACAATGTGTGCCAATTATTGATCCAACTTTCCGACCAAAACTCATATTGCCACGGCGACAGGACACTTCTATTATGCCGCAAATGCTATAATAAATGCTACAATAATCATTTGCGGTTTTATGACAACTCGCGACGCATTCAAGAGTCAAGAGTCAGAACTACGAAAATAGAAGGCGGCACGTCACGGGAAATGGCCAGCGCGGCGAAGAACTGGTCGGGCCTGGTTACGCTGTGCCTGGGCCAGGAGCGCGAGAAGGTACTCCGATTGATTTTGTGTGATTATTGCAGGGGCTCATAAAATACGGATACTTTATGTTTATTTAATAAGCGGTAATGTTTCCAACATGCTCCGAATCGAATCAAGTATCCAAAATTTGTGAAAGTCACGCATATGGGCTACGATAGMCGGCTGGCTGGGTGGGTGGGTGTTAGGTGGTTAAGTGGGAGTGGGTGTGAATCCACAGCGAGTATGGAACATCTAATGTAATACATTCTGTTTCGACACTTTCGTTTTGTCACCATGCAGCGGCAGGTGAGCAGCCAGCGCACATCCCTGACCAAGTCCAATGGGGTCGGCGCCTTGGGTGTTCCATCAAAGGTAAGCGGTTCATCTGTCCGTGTGTCCACTTTGATTATTGTCATTGTTACCCTTACTGGTGTAGCCGATTATACAATATTTGCCCAGCTATCGCATGGAGCCCAGGAATCCACTGAACAAGGAACGGTTGGAGCTCACGATGCGCACAATCATGAATAGGAACTACAACGAAGATTATCTATTCCATCCCAGGCAGTCCTACCATCTGGCAGCTCAAGTCAGCGAAGAGATCAAGAACAGCATCAAGCTCATGAATTTCGATAGGTATTCCATTCCCTTTAGTATCATACCTTGCCTAATTCCATTGCCTGCTTAGATACCGTTACATAGTGCTGGTTACCGTTGGAGAGCTGCTCATGCAGGGCCTCTGCTCCATGGTCAACTTTCTGTGGGATGCCGAGAAGGACGGCTTTGTCACCTACTCCATCAAGACACCCAAATTCATAGCCGTCTGCACCGTATTCTATTTGTATTACGACTGAGTGCGTGCCTAAAATCAAAATTCATGAAAATAATAAAAGAGAGATCATCGAAAATTAATTTAATGGGAGAAAGGAGTGAAACAGGAAGGAAACAAATAAATGGGGAAAAAGAACAAAGTAAAGAATAAAGAAAGAATAGTAAAAGTCTTACAGCTTCGATTTGATGCCAACAGCTTAATCTGTGAAGGAATCATGAATATATGTATATACAGTAGTGCATTACGAATTGCCACTAATTCACTTTRTCGCACAATTTGATTTGATTTGATTTTTGAAACCACTTGAAGAACAAACAAACACTCGTTAAATAAATCACAACACATTTTGAATTAGGTTTTCCGTTTGTTCATTTTTATTTGAATATCAGTTAAAGAGTTATATATAATAGATATATAATATGGTGAAGCATAAATAATTTCATCTCGACACAAAAACCAAACTAGATTTATTAAACTTTTTCTAAAGTTTGTTTTTTTATTTTTTTATTTTGGTAATTCCAATGGATTAATGTTTCAATATTTGAATTAATTAAAGTATTCATATAATATTTTTTGACAACATATATATATTTGTGGACATCTGGATATTATATATTGGCCACACACATGCACAGACACACACACACACATGCACACACGCATCTATATATTGAGAGATATCATTTATCTGTACGACACTTCAACTCACATAAGAAATTTGCTTAGATTTCAAATAGTATATATGCATATATACAGATATATACATACGTATATAGACACAGAACTTGTTGGAGAGCAACCCATAAGAGAACCAATGTAACATTTGCCAAACCCATTTCAACAATTCAAACATTTTGAAACAAATGCTACACGACGTTCTCTCTCCGGATGGAACTGATCAAACGAACGAACGATTGGAACAGAGATATTCCAAAAAATATCCAAACTTGAAACAGCTCACTGCACAATGATATGATATTGGGAGGCCGAAACAGGGCACAGTTCAGACACTTTATAAACACTCGATCCATAGTTATATATAATTATATATATAAAAGAATATGGAAGGAACCTCAATTTCTTGGGGCATCAACCAAAGGACAGAACTCCAATCAAATCACTTTATATATAGCAAGCCCATATTCATATATATATATCATGAATATTACCAGAAATTCAGATGGGGGCAAGCACTTTGTCTTTAGCACTATTTTTGTTCACAAAAACCAAAACTTCGCATCATAAACAACTCTCATTAACCAAATCATAATTGCTTAAAACTGATTCGAACTATTTAACACAAAAGAGTTAACACAAAAACTGATCAACATATTTGTTTTCTTTCTTTTGGATTTGATTTTGATTTTGGATTTTTCATTTAAACATTTTCTTGTTGATTTTTGCACTAATTGCACATTTAAAAATAAATTGGATACAGAGCAATTGTATTTTTTTTTTTTTTTTTTTTTTTTTTTTGTATAGAATGAGAAATCTTTACACTGCGAAAATAATTGAAATCAAATATACAATGGATAGTTATCAACAATTCAAAACTTTTTGCACAATTGTAATTAAAAAAAAATAAATTTAGGTTGAACTTTCGTTTTGTTGTTTGATTGAACGGTTAAAAAACTTTTACACTCTCACTACACAAGGAATCAGAATCATGTGTAAGGCATAACAACCATAAATAATATTATTTCTGTGATTGCTTGAGTGGGTCTGTAAAAAGAATAATAATAATATTTGGATTAATGCGTATTCATATACATGCAAGGTAAATATATATAGGACTATATATTATAATTGTGTGTGCATGTCTGCTTCTTTTCCTTCTCCTGCTGCTGCTGTTGTCACTGGCTTCTGTTAGAGGTAACTCCAATTGTCTATTGATTGAATTATGCTTCTACCAATACACACACGAGCATACACTTGCATGTATGTGTATGTGCATATATACTTTTTGTGTAAGTCTACGACATCTATGTTACGTGGCAACAAATCTCTTTGGGATTATGTGCCTGCCCAGCACTGCGAGCGATAGCCACCCGGTCGATGGGTTGCTTAGTTTGCCCGCAGTTTGTCCATTGTTTAGGCGGTGCCGCCACGTACAACCACAATAACCAGATGATCCTCCTTGAGACCCTCCTCGGTGAGACTGTGGCATGTACGCTTCAAGAGGTCCGTGGAGAAGTCACACGGTGGGAATGCATAGAGCACGCCCGTGGCCTCGGTCTCTTTGTTCAACAGCGATATAACTCCAGCCGCTTCCTTTTGCTTTAAGTAGGAGACGAGATTACGCAACGGACGAGTCTGCACGCTGGCATCGTCGCAATCTGTGTCCACAGTGGAACCAGCCAGACCCAAGAATATGGCATGCGATGACGAGGATGCAATGCGTTTCTGTACATCCTCCAGCTTAGGCGGATCCAGTCGCAACCTTTGTGTTATGCGCAAATTGTGCTTGCCCTCCTCATCACGCATCAACGATTCCACAATGTCTGTGTCGCCATCTGTCAGATGAAACTTGGCCGGGAATAAGGAACTCTTCAGTATGAGTGCGCCTGTCCAAATTGTGCTGCACTTGCGCGAAACGTCGAGTACTGTGGCCGCCGAGCTAAGGGCATCGTTGCGCCGCGTCGAGGTGTCTGAATCAGAGCCGGGTGAGCGTTTCAATGGTGATCGCGAGCGCGATCGTTCCACTCCGGGCTCACGTGAACCGGAACGGGCCCGTTCATACGATTCTCCAGGCGGACGACGCCATTCATCATCAGCACCGCCTGGTGGCGGCACCGACGACACACCACCCATGACATTCGGATGAGGTGGTCTGTGCACATCATTGTGATAGTGATACAAGCCGCGTCCACGTCCGCGATAGCCACTACCGCGTCCACGATAGCCGCCACGAGGTGGATATGGCGAATAGCCACCGCGTGGAGCATACACAGCCGCCTCCTCATAATAGGGATCGTACTCGGGTCTCCTATACTCGATGGCAGCCTCATCGTATGCCGGCTTCGAGGTCTTGAAGGGAGCTGTTGGCGTAGTACCAGGCAGCTCCGCAAAGTCAGTGCGCAGCCTTCGCTCGGGGCCGCCAAGGGGGAAGCCACGCATCTCCTTGACTGCCGCCGTGGCAGCCTCCACTGTCTCGTATTGTATGTAGGCATAGGGCTCACCCTTCTGGTATTCAATCTTCTTGATGGCACCAAAGCGATCAAACTCACGCTCCAGCTGTGTCACCGATGTCCAGGCGCCGAGACCGCCGATCCAGATTCGTGTGGCCGGCGTTACTTTGCCATAACCAATCTTGCATTGGAACTTGCCTATATACTGGCCAGATAGTTCGATTTTGGCACGATGAGCCATGTCAAGATTCTGATAGCGCACAAAGGCGAACGCGTTGCCAGTGCCAGGCGGCGGTCTCTTTATATCAATGTCATCCACTACGCCATATTTACCAAAAATACGACGAAGCTCGTCATCAGCAATGGTCACTTCCAGATTGCCAGCGAACAGTGTGCGTGTAGACAGTGGATCATCTTCTGGCTGCACATGATGCAAATAGTTGGGAAACTTATCCTTTTTGCTTTCCGGCTTCTCATACGGCACATGTGGCCGCGGGGCCATAGGACGCATCGGTGCATATTGATGAGGCGGTGGATGGCCGTGCATATGATGGGGATGGGCGTGAGGATGACCACGATGTATTGGTGGCCCCCGTGGTGGATGTGGGTACTCATGGTGCATGGGTCGATATTCACGTGGGTGCACAGAATGCGGATGAATGGGTGGACCATAACGGTCATAGGGATCAATTGGAGGGCGACGATGATCCAATGGCACACCGGGTCCCATGGGCGAACGCGAGTAATGGTACCGTTCATAGTCCGGGGGCGACATCGAGTGCCGGGGTCTATAAATATAATATCCCAACGTAAATACAAGCCATAACCTTATAGTAATAGTCAACAGTTCACATACCTGTACTCCGGCCGTGTCGTCGACTTATAAACTGGCTCAACAATTGCCATTTTATCGTAAATGATCAGCCGAGGCTTGTGATGCTTGGCTTCACGTGCATCTTCCGGCGTGCGAAAACACACGTAGGCAACACGTTCGTCCAGATCGTGCGCAAGTCGCACACTGAAATCCCCAAATTTCTTGTATTCGCGGTAGAGTGTCTCTTCGATGAACTCGTCAGGTGCCTTTGGAGGCAGAGCACTCACACACAAAACTTTGTAGCCAGCGGGACGCTCTGCAGCAGGCGGACCACGCATATAAGGCTCTCGATGTGGAGACCCATAACGACCGCGCGGGCTTGGCGAACGGTCTAAGCGACGACGCATACGTTCCGGCGACATCCGTTCCGGCGAATCACCCGGCACACCTCCTCCATTATCGTAGCCACGGCCCATGCTGCGCGAATTTCTTACAAGGTTTCCTCTGCCTGGTGAGCGAGATGCGCTACGTTTCATATTGTGAATTTTGACAGTTATTCGATCAAGTTCAGCTCCTTCTCTATGAATACTCATGAGCAGGAGCGGAAGCTTTTTATTATACCTTAGCCTTTTTCTTGTGACGAAGTCTGTGGAAAATATATAAATATATTTAAGTTACAAAGCTTGTGCAGTTCATCACATACAATCGTTTGCAATTACACATTTTTATAATACGTACACACACATATATACGGTGAAAAAAATGCAAGATGAAAAAAAAAATGGCGGCGCGACTTTAGCGTCGAGTATTGGTACAGGTAAAACGAAAAATAAAATCCACGAAAAATTTAACGCGTTTACATAACTATAACACAGCGTACTGTTACATTACTTACCACCAACTTTATGTACGATTTCTGATGTACTACACCTTTTTTCTTAATTATTTCTTTTATGCAGTGACATTAAGAATTCACACACTCCGCGGCTCGCAATTTATGTATTCGTCGAAAAAGTGTGGCGACAAGATGATGCAGCAAAAATATCGATACTGTCTATGTTTCGGCGAATTATCGATACCATGGCAAAATTAATTTAAAAATAGTTTTTTTAACTTACATTTTTACTTAATATATAAATCTTAGATATCAAGTTACAAATTACAAGTCTTAATATAAAATGTTGTATAGTTCTGCTTGTAGCTTTGTTTGTGATCATATGACGATACTATCACTAACCATAGTGATACTACTCACTTGGCTATTGTGAATTAAAATTCGATTAAGCAATGCAATTCGTAGCAAAACAAAAGCGAAAGAAGAAAAGCCGGCGGGGCTCTCAAAAAATCATTGTAATAACCATGACAAGACCATATGTTGCCGTTTCTGGATAAGGCTTAGTCCAAACGGATTAAGTGACTTTAATTTTGTAACCGCGAGTGTCTAAAATTGACAGCAGTTAACAGCTAAAGAGAAAGAGAAAGAAAGTTAAAATAGGTCGAGGAATTTGCATATAACATGCATACGTATGTGTGTACATATGTATGTCGTTATTTTCTGAGTGCCAGCTGTGCAGGTATAAAAATAATTCCTCTCCGCATATTTATGGCGGTAGTTGAGTGCACTACCTGCGAATTCCGATGCTTAACAGCTGTTTTCCTGGACAAACACAGATTGTACATATGTAAGTAAATGCATGCTTGCATGTGTACATGCCTGTATGCAGATATCTATGGGAGTGTGAGTAGGCTAATCCGCTCGCTTTTTATAGCTCTTGCTCGCGCACTCGTAAATATATACTCAGTAGTTGACGATAACAAAATACATGTCTCTCTCAAATGGAAATATATAGAGTTTTGTAGTCGCTTAAATGCAACTGCGCTCATGTTTCTTGGTCATTTAATGTTTAACAATGGCTGCGAAAGGAACAAAGGAACGTGTCTCGGAGAATAGTTGTTGCGCTGGCAGCGGAGCAAAAGATCAGGCGCGCTATGATCACTACCGGATATATAATGTCCAGTTTGATAACGAGGAACAAATCAAATTGTTCCAGAAACTTGAAGAGCAGAGCGATAGCCTCACCTTCATTGGCCACGCACGTGAAATCGGGCAAAAGCTTTCAATATTGGTTGCAGCACATCGCGTTGCAGACTTTGCCGACTTGCTGGAGACCTACAAGCTACAACATCGAGTTCTGGTATGTGTTACAACATATTCAAAGAAATATTTTCATATAGTAATGTATTGTTTACTTTGCAGACATACAATTTCCAGGAGAAAATTGATCGTAATATGGGGGAAGTTGTGCCAGAGGATGTCGATGCCTCCAAATTGGACTGGCAGCACTTTTTCCACTTGAAAACCATCTACAGTTGGTTGGATCGGATGGCTGCAAAGTATCCGGGTCAGTTGAATGTACTAAATATGGGCACCAGCACCCAGGGAAATGACATAAAGGGCGTTAAAGTGGGAAACAATCCGGCGAATAAGGCAATTTTTATTGAGAGCGGCATCCATGCACGCGAGTGGATCGCCCCTGCCGCAGCCACCTACATTATCAATGAGCTGTTGAGCTCGACAGATGAGCGCATTCAGAACTTGGCCAAGAACTACAATTGGTTCGTCTTTCCATGTGTCAATCCCGATGGCTACAAATATACATTTGAGCATGATCGCATGTGGCGTAAAAATCGCCAATTATTCGGCACGTGTCGGGGTGTTGACCTGAACCGCAACTATCCCGATCATTGGAACTCTACGGGCTCCAGCAGTGATCCCACTCGATATGATTTCGCTGGACCCAGCGCAGCAAGCGAAGTGGAGACGCAGCGTCTGATTGAGTTTATACGCAATAATGTTGAAAAGGAACAGATCAAGACGTACATTTCCCTACACTCTTACTCACAGATGCTCATGTTCCCATATGGCTACACCAAAGAGCATGTGTCCAACTACGACGATCTGCAGGAATTTGGGAAAAAGGCATCGGCCGCCATCAAGGCGGAGAGTGGACGAGACTACGTAAGTGGCAATCTGTATGAGACCATTTATCCATCAAGCGGTGGTAGTATGGATTGGGCTCATGCCGAAGCTGGTATACCAATCGCCTACACATTCGAGCTACGTGGCCCACCCGATAGCCAGGATCTATTCATTCTGCCCGCTGTGGAAATACAGCCAACAGCCAGTGAAGCACTTACAGCGATTCGCACCATAGTGGAGGCTGCTGCTGAGAAAGGCTACTACAAGTGAATGATTTGCACATTATATTAATTACTATAATATAGAAGAACTTGACGTATAACGATATGGAGTACTAAGAAAATTGTTTTACAAGCGATGTAATCTAAAATAAATTCACATGTTTTACTGTTATGATAAGAAAAACTTATTGTTTGCATACTTATATATGTGCATATAAATTCCAGTTATCTAAACGATATCGTCTTGCCGTTAAATGTGTATACATATGCATACATAAATACTTTTATTTTTAATGGGAGTAAACCGCACAGTGGCTTATTGTCCTATATCTGCGATTTCAATGAAAACCCAGTCAAAATAACAAATTTTCATCAGACTATTTTGCGAAAACGCTTCGGGTTGACAGTAGCCGCTTTAGCAGCTTTATCTTATAAAAGTCCTTAGGCCGCTATTTCAAAGTAACAGATGTGGGGACACATCTTTTCGTCCAAAATGGCCAACGCCCGAGCACAAGCCGAAGGCATATGCGCAATGCGCATTGCCTCTTTCCCTGCCGGACAAGGGCAAATCCTTTCTAAGGAAGAGCATCAATGGCAATTAACATACGTAGAGTGTAAAAAATTATAGTGCATACATGTATATTTTTATAAACAATATATTTTTATAATTATTTAAATAGTCCGGGGTAAATACTGTCAGGAATAACTTTGCAAAATAAAGAAAATCTATATTGATAAGCATTTATCGTTATCGTATTTCGGGTATTTTGCATTGATAAATCGAAATACAATTTCGACTACAGTTTTGGTATTTTTCAATTGTATTCAGTGTATTTTTCACGTTGGCCGCTCGCGGTCACACTGTACACATCCCTATAGGTCTCGGCAGAAACATATAGATTTTTTTTATTAAACATTCACTAAATTAAACTATAAAAAGACGCCGAAGTAGTTACGTTTTTTATTGCTGTAACGTAGAATAAGACGAATCTCTTTGTTTGCAACGTGTACGTGTGTAGGGTAAGCCCGAGCAAGCCAAAAGTGAAAGTCCCAGAAAAAGTACAAAAAGAGAGATAGTGGGACAGAGTGTGAAAGAAAGAGATAAAGATATATAGCACGAGAGAGAGTGAGCGAGAACGGTGAAAAAGAGCCAGAGTCTGGGTGAGAGAAAAACGATTTTTTCAGAGAACAACGCGGATTTTTCGTATTTGCTGTGGACGGGGAAACGTGTGTGTGAATTGAGCAGAACCTGGTGAGTACATTTTCTGCCTGCCTGCCTGCCTGTTTGCAATTGGTATTTTTGTATGTTGTTGTATTTGCATTTTCAATTGAAGCCGAAAATAATTTGAAAGCAGAAGCAAAACCGAAACGCAACGTAAACGCAACGGCGCCAAGCTATAACAAAACAAAGCAAGCAAAAATAATACTATAAAAAAGAAACAAAAAACATCAGCCACAACAACAACGGCAACAATAATAATAACCATAGAAAATAACGAGAAAAGTCAGCGCGCTGCCGAAGACCGTCAAAATTCTCAGCCACAGCCAGCACACACCACCTTACAGCACCTGCACCCTATTAGCTGCCACCACGCTCCACCACAAACAACCAGCCATAATGTTCGTCAATTCGATGACGTTCCGTGGAAATCCGGCTAACTATCACCAGCAGCAGCCGGCGCTCAACCATCATACGCTGGCTGCCGCCGCTGCCCATCATCAGCAGCAGCTGCACCATCATGCTGCTGCAACTGGGCACCTGAGCCATGGCGTTGGCGGTGGCCATGCGGCTAGCAATCATTTGGCTGCTGCTGCTGTGCTGGGACGGCATGGACATAATTCCCTGAATGCCGGGCACACGTCCAGTTCGTCGCACTCGAGTGGTGCACTGGCTAGTGGCAGCAGCGGCAGCAGCAATAGTTCGCCGGATAGCGGAAAAATTTACATCAAGAATCTGGAGCGTTCGATTGACAACAAGGCGGTGTACGATACGTTTTCGGCTTTTGGCAACATTTTGAATTGTAATGTGGCGAAGGATGAGGATGGCAACTCGCGCGGATATGGCTTTGTGCACTTCGATTCGGAGGAAGCCGCCCGGGCGGCCATCGAGAAGGTCAATGGAATGCTATGCAATAATCAGAAGGTGCATGTGGTGAAGTTTATACCACGACGAGACCGCGAGCAGGAGAAGGCAACCCATTTCAAGAATCTGTACGTGAAGAATCTCAGCGAGGAGTTCACCGAGCAGCATTTGCGAGAAATGTTCGAGCCCTATGGCCGCATTACCAGTCACAAGGTGCGTCTATTCTAATGTTTGTTCACTTCTCTTGTTTTTTGTGAATATATTTTAGGGCAGGCAGGCAGGCCAATGCCGGGGCGGTGGCGGGAGAATAGATGAGTATGAGTGAGAGCTGGAGCTGCAGATAAACCATGTGGCACACTTTGTCATCTCTTAAGAAATGCCACTCACAGCACTCTCTCTCATACTCATACTCTCACTCTCGCTCTTAGCCCGCGCTCCGGCCAACTGGTGCGCATGCCCGCCCTAAAGAATTAACTAACTGATTGTCGTCGTCCCGCTACAAAGGTTCGCTGCAACGGGGCAGCAGTAGCAGCCGCAGCAAGCGATTTTTGTGGTTATTGTAATTGCTATTATTAATTCGAAATTCATTTACAGTTGATGCTGGATGAGGAGGGACGTTCGCGCCGTTTTGGATTCGTGGCATTCGAGAGTCCACAATCGGCGCTGGCCGCCGTCATTGGGCTGCATGGCAAGCAGCTGGGCGACAACAAATTCTTATATGTGGCACGAGCACTCAGCAAAGCTGAGCGACAGCAGGAGATCAACCGCAAGCTAGAGGAGCGCAAACGTCAGAAGGCCGGACAGATATTTTATTACTAAAAATTGGTAACGGAATGGACGGATCTAAACGCTGTTGCGTCCGATGCGAGAATAAGAAGAAGATTAAATAGAATCCCCCTCCAACCCCTCACACGAAACAAACAATATACACACAACATACCAATATCTAATATATATGTATAGGTATAAAGACATATATACATATATATTATAGATATTTATGATTGGATTCTGCATTAAGCAAAAATTTAAAAACAAAATGCAATACACAGCAAGCACAGAAGAGACAACACACACACACATATTTAGGTGTAGGCCACACACACACACACACACACTCTTGAGAGTGATGCTAATGCAGAATCATCCAAATCTAAATGCAAATGGAAAAATAAGGAATTCACATACATAGATTTTCAAATATTAGAATCTAATATGAAATCTACTGCAACAAAATGAAAAAAATGAGAAAGAAAAACAAATAATTCGCTAGATTTTCTTTAACTTTTTTTTATTAGATGTTTGTCTCTTGTTGAATTTAAAGAGCAGAAGCCCCTAAAAATACATAAAACATAAAATTAAACAAAGATAAGCAGCTTCTAGCTTCACGAACAGAATGCGTACGCAAATGTCTAAATATATTAAAATTTCTTACTAAATAATAATACAAAAAAAAAAAAAAACATAAACACACGCAATTAGCAAGTGAATTCTAGGCAAGCGTCGAACAAATATATAGCTACCATGTCGCGAAGAGTCATGGACAAATATTGAATATTTACACACATACTATATATATTAAAACTAACTACACGATTGCTGTAAAATTCTATAAACAATTAAAGCACCCACTTTACGTATATAATGGAAAAAAACTAAAAAAAAAAAAAAAAAAAAAAAAAAAAAAAAAAGGAATATATATTTCACGCTGTAGTTTAAAAGCGTTTATAATACTCACACATACACACACCCACACACACATCCTAACTAATGCTAATTAAAAAAAAAATAAAATAAAATAAAAAAAAGAAGAGATTTGAGGATACCTTAAAGAAAAAATATGGGAGCACGAGGGAAACTCTTGTGTGCAATTGCAATTTACAATGGAAAAAGAGTATTAAATTAAATTTGTAACAATTACAGAACATTTTTGTAATTTATTGTAAATTGTTTCAAAGTAGCTAACAACATATTGAACACCAGACAGCAACAAAAACTGTAAACGATATAATTTAAAAAATCGAAATAAATAATTGTACGTGTGACACACACACAAACACGCAAATGCTTACAACTTTTTAGAAAAAAAAAAAAACATATTCACTCACATATTAAAAAAAAAACGAAACTTATTGAAGTAATGGAAAAGAAAATAAAAAGCGTGTAAACAAGCTCGGCACATTTTCAAATTAACCGGGAAAAGAGCAAAATGGCAATGGCAAATAATACATAAACATATATTTTAAGATTATTGAGCTTAATTTTTAAACATGTTTCAAAAAGAAGGAAAGTCAAAAACAAAAGCAAAAATCCCCCATAAAATAAATAAACACACAAACAATTTGTATAGTTAAAAAAGAATGGAAATATGAACAGGCAACAGCAAAAACAAAACAAAACAAAAACAATTGAAATATATAGTAATTAAATGAAATGCGAAACCTTAAGAATTGCATAAATACACACTCACATTTACAATAATTTATTATGTAACAATTAATTTTAAATTTCCGTTTCGAGTTTAAAAGAGAGAAAGGAAAAATGAAAATGAGTAAAGCGTTGCTAACAATTTTTGTCAGCTAAGTAGAGCTAAAAAATAAAAATATAAAAAGAAAATTTATAATTTACAGGAAATTGATAGTATTAGTATACACACACACATACACATGCAATATGAATTTAGAGAACAGTAAACAAAAACAAAAGCAAAAAACAAAAAAAAATATTAATGCAAAATGTACAAAAAACAAAAACAAAAATGAATATGAAACTTTTCGTTTGCAAAGCAAATGCGACATATGTGTATTTTTATCATTAATTGTAATAAAACCAAAACTTAATTGCTTTTGCAGAATTTAACTTACAAAGATGAAAAGAAAATCAAGAATAAGATGATGAGAACAAAAGTCCCCAAAAGAAAATCAATGATGAATAGGAAAAAAAAAAAACAAAAACAAAATGAAAACCTTGAAATATATAACCTTTTATAGTACTAAATTTTTAGCCAGTACGAATTAAAAACAAAAAGAAAAGAATAGAAAACAAAATGCAAGTTTACAAGG